CGTTTTTCAAAAGATTTGGATTCTTAGTCCCAACTTTTTCACAGTATATGATAGATTATAATATGTACACTAAACACAATAAAATATAACTTCTAAGTATTAAAATTTTGAAAAATATAATGATTTATTTTATAACTATTTGTATTTAGTATAATACCAAACGTCATAAAACAAACAATATAAGTATAAGTGTGATTGTAAAAAGTTGTTATCGCGCGCACGACAATATACCTCCATGCATTTCTCCCGGGAAACAACGATGGTGACGTCAAAGTTGTAACAATAAATTAAACCAATAATGATTATTATTAGGTACCTGTTATTTCAGTTTTATGTGGAATTGAAAACGCGCGATGGTAGATTATACAATATTGTTACGATAAAAAGTACACCGAACCTAGTCGAATGTTTCAGTTCACAAAGCAGCATACAATAAAGACTTTTAATATAGCATAACAATAATACAAATTATTACCGTCCCGAGTGTTTTGGCCAAAAACAATAACCCTAGTATAATAATATTACGTCCAGAAATCCGTTAAAATGAATTGGTTCGATTTTTAAACGCATATTAATCTCTCATTTGGTATTGCGTTGTGGTTTTGCGCTCCAGCCATAATATTGTAATATTTGTGCATAATTACGTATATTCAATCTGTCCAACTATCGATCATACCAGTATAATATAATTATTACAGCACACTCGTTCGAATGGAAATTCTTAATATTTTTCACTTTTTGTGTTTTTAAACATAAATTATTATCAATTATCATGATATTATACGTAACATATACCTATATATACCCATATACATATATAAATATATATATATTAAAGAAAGTGATGCGAAGACAAAATAGTTTATGCGCGAGACGTTTTGGTCATTTATAATATAGCAACCATATTCGTATCAGCGTGCATATACGAGATAATAATAATATGTAAATAATTAGGTATTTCGACGCCGTTAAATTAATAATAATAACATATATATATATTATAGGATATATCTATTATAACAACGTATTCTGAAGACTGAATAATATCGATAATTATTAAATGGTTTTGGAACTGTTCGTGCGCGTAAATCAACGTCGGTTCACCGAGAGTACTTTATAAAGTTTTAAAGAAATTGGAACAAAAACGGCCGCTTAGAATGTTTTCGATTAAAACGCACTTTGACCGTGAAGTGTTCGTCCAAAGACGTTAATATGAACAGATGCCGATCGTTTAAATTTCCAACACGAATGTCGAGTGAGAATTGGAGCTATTGGTTTTCTCGGATATTGACTAGTATTCGTTTCAGTAAACACTTAACAAAAAAATTGACATCGCAGACTGTAGTCGTCGTACTATTCAACGGATGGGAAACGACGAAAACTCAAATAACCATATATAACAGTAGTCGTCGAAATAGTGTGGTTATTGACAACGATATGTCACGGTTTTATAAAAAACACAGATCGTATCGATTTCCCTCGGAGCAATTGAAACCGACTGGAGCGTGATTGTCACCTCACGAAAAACTCTAAAAAGGTACCCAATATCGGTCGACATATTAATTTTTCATCTATGCGTTACGTCATCTTTTAAGTGTATAGAGTATGGACGTACAGTTTATATTTACAAAATTCCATATACGGCATATGTGAGCATAAAAGCGGCCAGTTCAAAGTGTATCGTTATATTGTTGTTGTTTTTCGTAAGTACGACCCGGAAAATCCAACTGCAGAAAGTTTTGTTCCGACCGTATAATAAATTATATCGGTGGGAATTGCACGGACAAAATAGAGCGATATTATAAATCGACGACGGTGATCAGATTTGGGGGATTGATAAAAAATCTCCAGAGGATTACGTGTGGGATAGAGGTGGTGGCGGCCTTGTTGTTTTTACTTGCCATACATAGGTAAACGTATGTGTACAAGTTCAAAACCGTAAAAAACGACTTCGTACGTACGTCCGATATACGTATGAAAGACTAAATCGTACGAATTTATTTATACGTATGATATGCGCGCGTGTATGTATGTGTGTGCGTGGCAAAGTTGGCCCTATGTTAGCGTTGTTGAAAAACGAAAGTTTTTTTGGTCTATGACGAAATAAAATGAACACAAAATACTGAGAAATTCTATTTTTCTTTCACTTTCACACTTGCACAGTAAGTAATTGTTTTAACCTGACCTAACCTAGTTCTAAGACTTTTCGTTTGTGACTTATCGGCGTAGTTGACCTCCGACAGCGACTATACGGTTATATTTCACGCAGTCTCGTCGTGAGAGTGTTTATAATGTAACTTCTCGTCACGTCCGTTCGGAAATTATGTATTGAGGAAAATAGTTTTTATCGACATCATAATGTAACGAGTAATAAATTAAACGATACAACTTATAGTGTAATACTTATAAGTTTTATAATAGCTACGTTAAAAATAGTTAAAACAATGATATAAATGTTTAATTTTTCATTCTTTATTTTAATAAAAAACAAAAAAATAATTTTTTTATCATCTGTGAGAAATTTTTTAATATGATATACTCATATTATTATATAAAAATGAAACCACACGCACGCCTATTCGCCACATTTCGTTTACGACCCAACGAATGCCGCACGCACACTGTGCGTTATAATATACTTTCACACATCTGTCCATCATTTGTGCAGTGGCGGAGGAGATGATCTACTGCTAGAACCATTAAGTCCGTATTATTTTAGAATGTAATAAAAAAAATTAATTTAGTCCCATCGTCCTCATAGTTTAACTGAAATCAAGTTCGAAAGGTCTAGACACGTCCCAAGCTCGGTGCCTGATGCAATGATGGTGGCAGCAATACACGTTCACATTCACACTCAGTCCTGCAACCACAGTAATTGAGCTTGTCTATTGTATCCGACCCAAATGCCATCGCCACCTAGGTTTTTATTAATTTTATCGAAACCAAGTTTTTCAAAGTGTGTTTATTACACCGACCCTCATTTCATCATACACATACACTCTCACGCATCTTCAACCACAAGCATCGACCACTCTTCCTCGAATCAGCCCAAGTAAACTGATACCCTTGGGTCAGGCTTAATTAAAACTCTATAATTGACATGCCCATACAAAGTAAACTCAAGCGGGAAGACATATCTAAATGCAATAAAGTACACATTCATTTTTTTTTTTTTTAAATAGAAGTAAAATAAAAAATTCAATGTATTTTATAAAAATGACAATAATTTGATCATATTATATTTATATATTATATAAAAAACATTTCAAAAGCATTATGTGAATTTTATTCGAGATTTGTTTACTTCATCGAGAATTTAATGTTATACTAATTATTGAATAATTAAAATATTTAACTTTTTTCTTCATGCGTGCGCATCAAGATCATTTTTTTTTTTTTATTTAAATCCCCCCCCTTTTTTTTTTTTTTTTTTTTTATTTAAATTAAATTTTTTTTTTTTTTTTTTTTTTTTTTTTTGATTTTAACTAACAAAGATTTAATTTTATTAGCATTTGATAAATTTAGTATAAGTTTAAGTTTGTATTTATGTTTGTAATTATCTTATTTCAAACATTTTGCCAACGATTTTATAAACTTCTATATAACTTGTTAAATTTTTAAATAATTTTAAAACAATGTTTTTAAATATGAAAAACTTATAATTTCAATTTTTTTAAAAATAATGTACCTTTTTACAATTTAAAAGCATAGAGAAGAATTCAATTTAAAACAATTTTATTTGCTGACTATATATGAAAAATAGGGAAAATAAGTGTAATATTACATTTTGTATGCAGTTAGAAAAACTTGAAATAAATTTCAAGTCATATTTTTAAAGTGTCACATAACCTTTATACTTGAACAAAATATTTATAAACGTTACTATGTGATTTTATATAAGCATCACGTATAAAGTGAAGAGTAACTTTCATCATTATTGTACTATCTATTCTTCGGTTCAAATATGATGGTACTACTTCAGGATGACATTGAATTTTTTAATTTATTGTTGTTAATCTTGGTCACTCTTTTATGTTATCCGCTTCACCATGCTAAGCCAGACAAAATCCAATGACAAATATAATTCACTAAATTAAATTATATACAGTCTATAATAATTGTCTTCACATTATTGTTTTATTACACACTACTTCTGTAATGTATTATTAAAAAATTAGTCTTACAAGTTACAACAATGATTATCAAGATTCCTCAATCATATCATTGAATATAACTGAAAAAGTATCTCAGAATTTTTACAAATATCGATTATACAGTATTCTGCATAAGTCATAAGATAATATATCATGGACTCAGATAGCTATTATATTATACCTTATAGGAATAATCAAAATCTCTACTGTGTCTGTCATGCTTGGTTAACTAGGACCCTATTATCGCATCGCTTTTCAGAAGAATATGATATTCAAAAACGTCAATTTGTCAGACTTATTAATCTTAGATAGTAATTTTTGTTCATATATTATCTTAAACATACTATTGATGCGTAAATATTAAAGTTTAACCAATTATCTACAATAATAATGTTTCAACATTTTTTTTTTTTTTAATAATAACTGAAATTAAAGCAGTCAGTTTTAATTTCAATTAATGTTATTGTGGTGTACAACTAAGCCCATCTAAATTTAAATCTATATGTTAATTAATAACTAATAGCTATTTTTTCAATAAAATATAGAGTTAAAATTAAATTATGAAACATTTTCATAAATAATAAAAATTAAGATAACACAAAGATTATTTACAACTTTTCACAATTAAATTATCTGTTAATGTTTTTTTTTTTTTTTTAATAAAAGTTAATTAGTTAATTATTTTGTTCTTTGGTATAATAATTACTCCGCATTATTAAAGTGCGTTGTTTTATTTATTACGTAATCTTTAGCTGTACAGAGTTTGTTCTAAGCAATTATCGTTATAATATATAGGATATAGATAATTAATGACGACTATTAAAGTATTTATTTTTGTGATCTTACCAGAACTGCTGACGACAACTACTGCAACAACCAACAACAAAGTCCTAGAGCTCCACGAGTCCACTGCGACTGCATATGTAAACGGCTGCATGTCTCTGAAGATTGGACCAGCTTCCGTAATTTAGCCTTACATTTATGCGTACTGCATATTATGTTTCACGTTACAGAATTTTGTTGGAAATCTGAAATGAAACCCAAATTGAAATTTTGTATTACCATTTTAATAAACTAAATTGGAAACACAGAAATAATATTGATAGTAATAAGTAGGCACTCACTGTTTTGGAAACGTTAAAAATATTTTTATTTTTAGATATTGGCTTATAAAGAACAAAGTATTTTCTAATTTTTGCTGTTGTATATAATTTCAATTACAACATACTGTTTAATTTTTTTTTTTAATTATTATTATTATTATTATTATTACTCGTTACGTTGCTGAAGTGCGTCAATGTATAATACAATACATACAATCAACTTATTAGACAACAATAATGGTGAGTAGTGACAAATATGTGTATATTGGTATGGTAATTAGTATATACAAATATATGACATAGGCAAATGATTAACGCACTAGAGCAGTGCTAGTCTTTGATGTTGACACTAATCGATCTCAAGTACACGCATGCTTCACGAATTATACAATGCATGCTGTATAATTATGTAATATAATATTATTATTTATTTTAATATGTAGTAGGTACATATATATATTTTGATGTGGTTTGTAACATAGTCAAGTGTTTGTGATTCAGCTATTTGGTCTCCCAAATGATCTGGTCATGTTGGAAAATCTGGGCACGAATCAATTGTTTCCGGCGTTTAATTTATATATATATATATATATATATTTATATTTATACACACAATGATGTACTGTATGTAGTCTATTCCTTACTAGAATTTGTCTCATCGATCGTTTCAAAATCTGTCACGTTGGAAAACCAAATCCGGCCAGTTTCTCTTGGAATTAAATTTTAGTGATCAAAATAATAAGTCATAGAAAAAATGTTATTGCCCAAGTATCAAAATCACTAGGTGCAGACGTTAGTTGGTACTGGTATGAATAAAGACTATACATGTACTGAAATTTTATGTGTTTTCCAAGGTTGTATTTATTTTCCAGTAACTTCTGTTATAGGTTATAGTGCAGTAGTTTACAAACGGAGGAGAGGAGTTTCCTCTAGGGGAGAATTTAGATACTGCACGGAGGGGAATATAGTGATAATAAAGTCTCTGTAAGTCTGGCTTTTCCCCACTTTTACAAATTAAAAGCAAACAAAGAAATTGGTTGGATGTAGGAAACGATATGCGTTGCGTGTTATCAAAAATATCTCGACGGATTATGGACTTGGTGAGAAAAAACAATCACAAATTTCCCATTGAATTTATTTAACTTATAATATTTAATATAAAACTATTTCTATAATTTATGTATTAAAATTGTACAAATTATATTATTAATAATTAAGTTGATTTATAATTAATTTTTAAAATGAAAAAAAAAAGTCATTATTAGTTGTATAATATATAGTTATTTTGTATCACAAAAAAAAGTCTTTTTTTTTTATATATTTTAAATATTTTTTAAATGTTGTAAAATTAAGTGAAGACGTGAGATTTTTGAAAAGTTGCAATAGGAGAATAGAATAAAAAAAATTAGAAACTATTGTTATAGTGTGTGAAGCATGTAGTTATATCAAAACTGATCCCAAAGTATCAATCTCAAATTGAATTTATTTTCGACGCGATCGAATTTTATATTATATCATCTCCACAATAATTGCAAAATGTATTATTATAACAAAATAAATTATTGCAGACATTAATGTATACGTATTTCAATAATATGAATAATTTTAATGTTATGAATTATCACTTGACTTTTTGCTTGTTTCGTTATCGTACTAAAAGTAATAATTGTCATTGGATGTATGTTTCATACACATTGTACATACTACAAGTGTAAAGCAGTATAATATACAATTGCGTTTTCATAAAATATAGAAAACTTTTCGGGGTTTTGAAAAGAGCATATGATAATAATGAAGATGATAATAATAATAATAATAATAATACGGAGAAGTGGTAAAGAATAATTGTTTGGCCACTTGATTTAACTACTCAGTGGATTTTCAGTTAAATATAAGAGTTCCGGTTGTTAGTCGTTCGGTTGTTTTAATAATTTTATTAGGTACATAATAATAAATCTTCCTAATCGTAATATTTCCGACGTAAATTTTTTTTTTTATTCTATTGTATAGTCTGTATGTATGTAAATGTATTTTTAAGAATATTATATGTTTTTTTTTTTTGTTTTCTGTAGTTTGTGGCTTAGAATTCTACAGTATATCGTTCATTTCACGTATTTTCTTCTACACTCACAAATACATATAATTGTGTTTTTATTTTTTTTAAATTTTATTTTATTTTATCAAACCTCCAATGGAAATTCGTAAAAGCATTTTCACTTGTATCATTATTTACGTGCATACTGCATATATTAATGTTCCGAAGGACGCAAATTTGAGTGGGCTACCGTTACAAATTAACTCGCCTTTGATCAGACATGCTATTAATTTATTGTGTTAACAATGACGGTAATAATATTATTAAATTAAAAAACAACAATATAGTGTTCGGTTGTAGTGAGGTTTTATAAAATTATTTAATGTGGTTAAATATTCAAACGATAAAACTGTTATGTTGCTTATACGTGAATAATAAACACGAGATTGTTTCAACGTTATTATTTTTATAATTATTATGTTATAGAAAAAATATTTTAAAATTGACGAAACATATTATTTTATCCTAAACTACATTATTTCTGAGCACAAAAATGCAAAAAATCAATATATGATTTGATTCATACGTCATTGTATATCAATATACTGTAATTTTAAAATAGTAAAAGTTGTGATTTATGAAATAGTCAATCAATACTGCAGATACATAATGGTAAATAATAAATAGTACAAGCATTTGTATAAATGATAATTTTTTAATAGATCATACCTGTATAATACATAATATGAGACTAAATAATAGCAATATAATAAATCACAGATTAACAACAAAAAAAAGTATGAAATATTATTTTTATTTTTAGGTTTTTATTAATAAATTTGAATTTGAAAAAAAACAATACATATTTATATTTTTTCAAATTAACTTAATCACCAAGTAGTTAATAATTATTTGAAACAAAAATATGATAATATTAATTGATGATAATTAAAGACTATGTGTAATTATTTGCAAATAATCTGCTTTATAAGCACATATTTTTTAAAGTTTCTAACTCGATTATCGTGAGTTTGTTTCAATAATGGTGGTTACTGTCTTGCGATTAATCATTTAATTATTAATTAAGTAATACGTTTTTTTTTTTTTTTTTTTTGTAGGATATTAAAACATTTTAATTAAGACAGGTAAATTGATTTTTGATTAATTTAAAAATAAATGAAAGCAGTTATGCCATCCCTACTCTGAAATGTTTGTTGGCGGTCAACTAATTAGGAACTGAGTATTTCAAAAAAAAAATTATATTTTTTAATCAGGAGGATGAAAACTTTTTATTTTAACAGTAGTAAAAGTTATTTATTGTTTGTAAATTAAAAATACTTGAGTTACGGTTCCAATAGTTTGGTATATTTATTACATAATATATTTTCTTTTCTTTAGTTATCTATGCTTTTTCTTTTATCTCTTCAGCCGTTATTTCAGATTCAACTTTAAAAATGTTTGAAAATGACTTTTTTATTTGCATGGGTCGTAACACTTGTAACGGTTATTGACTATTATATCACTGCTACTTATAGTTTTTGTACATTTTAATCGCATTTTTATAATTATGTTAACTTACGTTAAATAAAATCAATTCAAAAATATATTTTTTAGTAAAAAATATAATATACACTATTTTCATATACTATCCATTTTCGCATTTTCAATTCAAAATAATCTGTAGAAAATATATCATATATAATTTAACTAGAACAATATCTATATTCATCTAATTGCTTCTAAAGTGTTAAATTTCTTTATTGCTTCACTCATTCATTTACAAGTATAATATAAATAATATAATGGTATGCAAATATTTTATTTTATTATATATATACACGTAAAAAGACTATTTCTGTTGTAACAGATCTCTAAACGCATATTACATTTTGTAAGACGATGATACAAAAAGCTCTTCTGGACTAGCAAATGTCATTCTTTTCAATACATTATTATTGTTTTCCTTTGAACTTTATGTTCAACAAATGTAAATATATGCATCTATTATATTATACAACGTCTTACATTTGCACGGAATGAAATCGTTTTAAAACTGAACTATAAGACCGTTGTTCTTACATCATTGTCTACGTATATATCAGTATAAGGTTATCATTATTATTACTATAATGTATTTTAAAGCATTTTTATATAGTTTGAAGAGCATACTGTTAATAATATATTTTTGTGATATTTATACACACACACACACACACACACACACACATATATATATATATATATATATATATTATGTGACAGTGGACATAAACCTATCATGTGAATCGTTCAAAATAAATAAATAATGATTTTTTTTTTCTTCCTTTAAATTTACAGTAGTATAATACATACTCGTACATTTATTGTTATAATACTAAATACTATAATAAGGTATGTTATAAAGTAAAGTTAGAAGTAAAAAATATGCTATAATGCAATTTTGATGTAAATATTATAATATTATAATATATATATATATTATATATATTATATAATATAAAACAAACGCTCAAAAAAAAAAAAATAATAATAATAATAATATGTTATAAAATTAATAAAAGTATTAATATATATATTTTTTTTTTAACTATTCACACTATTAAAATGTTTTATATGAAACATCTACATGGTATTTTAAATTTTCAAAACTTAATGATATTATATATTCTTATATATATATATATATATATATATATATATTTGAAAAGCGTCAATGCATATTGTTATATATAATAAAAATATCTAAAACATACCATAAACATGCATTTTTATAGTTGAAATATCATCAATTTTATTCAAAATATGCAAAATAAAAACATCACAATGTACCTCATCATAAGGTGATTTGTAGACATAACTGTAAAAAGCAATAATCAGAAGTCGAAAAAAA